ATGAAATTTACAAGTTTAAACATCATAAAAGGATATTTTAAAATAGTGTCACTTTACTATTTTTTGAAATAATAGAAAATACAGATATACTTTTTATCTACAAATAGTCTTAAACTGTGCAGAATTCAAAATACACCCAAAACAAGGTGCTGTGCATCAAAATCTGACTTAAAACAAGAAAGTTATGTAATTTCAAAGTTTAAAGATAATAATTAAATAGTTTTAAAATAGTGTTATTGGCTGTTTGTAAAATAACTGCAGACAGATCAAAAAATTTAAGTAAAACTAGTTCCAGAATGTGCAGAATTTAAATACATTCAAATCAAAGTGCTGTGCGTCGACAGGGATTCAAAACGGGAAAGTTATTAATTTTGGAAGTTTACAACAAATAAGGGGTAAATTTTGCAATAGTTTTCAAAATAATATATATATATATAATAAATAATTATAAAAGCTTATTTTTACTGTTTTATTAGTTATTTAAAATATACTTATCATTTTTAAATAAAAATAATTTTAAAATAAAGAGCTCGGGAATACGAGCAAAACGATATATTATAAGTCGAAAACGGACAAAAAATGGATTTTTTGCAATTTTTTAAAGTTAAAATATGTTTAAAATAATTTAAAAGAAATTAAAAATAAAATTTGGCGGCGGCGGCTGTCGGTGCGCCACGTGGCGGACACGGGTTGGTCCGTTGAACCGCGGCCAATCATTGCTTGGCGGCGTGATAATTGCGCCGCCAGCAATGATTGCCGCAATCACTGCGGCAATCGTACGCCACTGACGCGGCGTCACTTAGCCACGTAGGCAGGCAACGCGAGGCGTTCGATCTCCCGCAATTCGGTTCAACGGCTCAGATCGAGTCGGCCGGCGATTCGGTTCGGCGTGTATACCCCAGCGGTCGGACGGCGGGATGGAAAGGCGCAATCCGAACCGTTGATCGGCGGATTAACGGTCCGAAACGCACAGTGCTAAACGGATGGCCGGACCGAACCCTAGTTCCATTTTTTTGAAGATTTCTCTCAATCGGATGAACAAAATTTGACGAAATTTTAAACCTAGATACTAGGTATGAACAGAAACCATGGGGGACCAATTTCATAGAATAATATTCATTATATAAAAAGTTAATTAGCTTCGTGTGTTCTAACTAGGGTTCACAATTTTACCTAAAATACTCGATGAAATCGAGAGATCTCTAGCTTGTTGCACTTGTAGACTGTCCACGCTCCTAGTTGTAGAATAAACCGCGTTTCAAAACGCGTTGGATCAATCAGAAGAAGCCTTGGAACGTTGTAGCCTTCGGTTCGCCGGAAAGCTCGCCGCCGGCGACTCCAAATGCTCGGTCTGTCTTGGGAAAGGTCGGGGGGACCTAAGGGAACTCTCACACGAAATCTCTCAGGCTGAGAGCGACCAGGTTCAAAGCAAGAGCGAAAAGTCCCCCAAAAGACCTAAATTTTCCCTATTTAAACCTCCTAATCCTATCATTGACTGCTTGGATTCGATCCACAGCCAATCATAAGGCTAGATCAAGTGATTTGGACGGGATTTTGAGTTTCAAAACGAAGGGGATTCAATTGGCATTGATTGGAGCAATGAATGGGCTCTAATTGGGCTTTAATAGGTTATTTCAACCAAATAAAGGCTTGATTTGACCAAGTCCACATTTTGACTTGGTCAAACCAGTCAATTAAGCTAAGGAGCATGAGGTATTAAGCCACAAATGGGTTTGGAATTAATTTGGATTGGAATTGGGCTCTTAATGGGCTTAATAGGTCAAAAATAACCTATTAAGTCTTAGGTTGACCAAGTCAAAGGTTGACTTGGTCAACCTAGCCCATTTAGACCCATGGAATGATGGGGATGAGTCCAAGGGAGATTTGGGCTCAATCTGGAAGTAAACCAGGCTCAAATAGGCTAAAGGGGCCAATTTGGGTCAACCCTATTTGACCTGGTCAACCAGGTTGACCTAGGACCTGAGCCTGGCTTCAAGAGACTTTATATTGACCATCTGAATTGACTGGGAGTGGTCTTGGTCTCTGGCTTGGTCGATTTGACCAAGTCAACCCTCCGGACCCCATGATTTGACAAAATCAAGGTCAACAAACGGACCCCCAATAGGAGGTTTATTTTATCCTTCTTGGGGCTAAGTTAATAGCCTTCTGAGCCCGAATTACTTAATAATTACCTATTAATTTAAGTTTAATTTTTTTGTTGGTGAAATATAATTAATTTAATTTATAGAGTATTAGTTCAAGATAATTATAACTTAATGTTTCTATTTCGTTAACTCATTTGTGGCGTTGTCACAACGTGCATGATGACCACGGGCTTCATAGGACATGCAACTCCGAAGCTCGAGTTAGTCCAACATAAAAAGTTTGTTTAAGGAGCGAGTTGAATTTATGTATAGTTATAATTGTTGTGCATTTTATTTAGTTCAATAAATGATTGAAATTCTAAAATTTTTGTGATTTTGTTAAATTTATGAATATTTATTAATTATTTAATTAATTAAATTTGTTTAGATTTTAAGTTTTTAATTTACATTGAATTCAAGAGATTTATTCTTTTTAAAAATATTATACTTAGGAATGAGTCAAATGCCTTTGAGTTTGTGTTAGTTGGAATTTTTTATAATTAATTATAATTTTTCAAAGTTTGGTCATTTTAATGAACTAGATTCAACTAAAAGTTGTCGTTTTTTTTTTCACTGGATTCTAGAAGTTTTATAATTTTCAATTTGTTTAATTTAGAGATTTTTATAATTAATTATGAATTTTACATTTTGTGAATTTAATAAATTATTTAATTGTTTATTTAGAGAGATTTTCTTATTTTTGTTCCACCTCAACCCAAAACCTCTTAAAATGTTTCCAAAATTTCACTGATTACTCCTAGGAATGATTACAAATGTTTAAAATTTATTTAAAATATTTTTAATAATATATTTTAATTAATCAATTAATAATTTTCCTAAGTTTTTAAATAATTTTTAATTCACGGTGTCTGTGATGGGCCTTTTAATTTTCATTGGTTGAGAACTTACTTCTGAGAAATTTGAAACTTAGTTTATATTTTTTTTAGATTTAATTTAGATTAATTATAAATTTTTTTAAGTTTCTAGGTCAATTATGTGCATTAATCTTGTGTTTGCTAAATGACAGACCAAATGACCTCCAAATTTAATAAAATTTGAACATTGGTGCATAAGCACATACGATTCAAACTCACTAAATTTGCGGTCACCAAAGCCCCCCTAGGTTTCAAAATCAATCACCAAAATTAAGTGCATCTACAACTTTGATGATTTGTTTTAGGAGTTTTACTTACAATATTTGGGTGAAATCAATGGTATACTAACTCATGTGTAATCATAAATACACTACAAAAAATAAAAGGAAAATACTATTGAATTGAAGAGTTATGAATTTACAAAATTATGGGTCAAATCATGACACATGACATTGAAATTTTAATTTACAAAACTAGAGCTCAAAATGGCCAGAAAAAAGTTAGGGTACGTAGGTAACACACTATAATACGCTCTATAAAACTTTTATTTTTACTTAGTATCCAACTTTAATTATTTATCTTGCATGCAATCCTAACAACAATAATATCTGCATTAGTAGCACCTATAATGCATTGGCCAAACTAAAAGATTTTGCTATCTCAAAATAAAACCAAAAGATCATCCCCACAAATGTTTTTTACTACTTTTTTTTCATTTTCTTTTAAATTCTTTAGTGACAATAAGATGCCTATTCCAATCATATCTGATGAAGTATATGAAAGTTGCTCTCCTTGGCCTATTGGTTTAGAGCTTAGGCATCCAACTAAGAGGTTTAGGGTTCGAGTCTATGTGTATGCATTGTGTGTGTGAGTTTGCCTTAAATGGCCAAAATGTCCCAAAAACAAACGTTCTATCCAAAATATTCCAGTGAGAAAAACCTCTAATATATACGAACAACATTTAGAAATTATGCTTTTCGCTTTTCACATAACTAAATTTTCAATTGTATTAAAGCAGACAGACCTGACACTTATCCATGCCACAAATCCTTTTTTTTTTTTTTTGGACATTAGGCCATTTAAGGCAAACTCACACACACAACGCATACGCAGACTTGAATCCAAGACCTCTTAATTGGAAGCCTAAACTCTCAACCAACAAGACAATGTGCATCTTTATTCGCTACACTTTTGTGGGTTGTACTGCACGACCAAATCGATCAATTCCCATAATGGTAGACCATTTACCAAATCAATTCAATCTTGGAATAAAATTGAACCGACCACATTTATTAATTTCATGGATTTACTTTGATTTAACCACAACTATACCGTTCAACATCAAAATATAACATTAATCGGACAATACAATCATTTTAAATAGTTAAGATAGATATAGTTAGTAAGTACATATCTTCATTTAAAACGTTAGCCACTGTACTAAGATTAATAACAAGAACATATTACTTGATTAAATGATGGGTTTTATTTAGGCATCGTTTGCGATAATTTTCCTACTATTTGTTTTATTATAATTATAATTTTTATTTAATTTTTTTTAGCTGTTTAAAAAAATTATACTAGAAAACGTAAAAAAATTATTTTCTCTAAAGCTGTTTTACAAAGAATAAAAGACTTAGATAATAAAAAAAATTTGAAATTTAAAATGCCAGAATAAGCCGAAGAAAACAATAAAATTAAAAAAAAAATGTATATTTAAATTTATTAGTAAAAATAATTATTATTTTTAAAAATATTTGAATTATAACACTCCTACTGCTTTCCACCTTGATCCGTTCCGACTCCCGTCGGCAAGCTCCTCCCGTTTACGCCACCAAGGGAACCCCACAAGCGAAACCTCGCCGCATCATGGGTCCCTCCCTCGTTGAAACCCCAAACGGGTCCTGGCCCGACCCGTACCCTCCTGTAGGGGCCACCACGTTACCTCCTCCCTTTTCCTTTCACAGATTCATCCTCGCCTAAATCTATCAAACATTTCGCTTTTCTAACGTCCCATCTAATTCTCCTCTTAACTCTCCCCATCCTCTCCTCCTTCCATCGTTTCTCGCTTCCTCACCCGAGCCCCAATGGATTCCAAAGTATCTTCAGCTGCAACACTTAACCGAAAATAAAACTCCCCGCATGGATCCAGGGGCCGAGGATTCCGGCCCCCGGGAACCTTCTTCTTCTTCATCTAAGCCTGCAGAAACCCCTACATCAGAAGCGCCGCTTCCACCAACAATAACTTCTCCGGCTGCCAGCGCATCATCATCTTCCTCCCAACCAAGCCGCTACGAATCTCAGAAACGCCGAGACTGGAACACTTTCCTACAGTACTTAAAGAATCACAACCCGCCGCTCACGCTAGCTCGTTGCAGCGGCGCTCACGTTATCGAGTTCCTCAAATATCTCGACCAGTTTGGCAAAACCAAAGTTCACTCGCAGGGCTGCCCCTATTTCGGGCTGCCAAACCCGCCCGCGCCCTGCGCCTGCCCGCTCTGCCAGGCATGGGGATCACTCGACGCTCTCATCGGCCGCCTTCGGGCGGCTTACGAGGAAAACGGAGGCCGGCCCGAGTCAAACCCGTTCGCGACCCGAGCTGTCCGAATCTACCTCCGCGAGGTGAGGGAGTCACAGGCTAAGGCCCGTGGGATACCCTATGAGAAGAAGAAGCGCAAGCGGCAAACAACAGCTGCTTCTTCTTCTGCTTCTGCTTCAACGGCAGGAGAAAGTTCTACGTCAGTAACTAGAACTGGAGGGGAGACCCACGAGGGATCCGGCTCTGGAGTATAGCTTTTTCTCTTCTCTCTAAATTGCTCGCGCTTCTTTTTCCTCTCTCTCTATATATATTTTTTCAATTTTCTCATTATTTGGTGGTGATTGAGGGGTTTGTGAGTAGGGAAGAAGATTCGAGTGTATGTTAATTTTCAGGTAGTCAAGTATGGCATGCCAAAGAAGATTAATTATTAAATAAATTTATTAATCCTCTCCTGCTCTTTGCTCAGCTCTTCTAAATAAGAAGAAGAATATAAAGAAGATTGAGAACTTTTTTCCTTTTTAAATACAATTAATTTCAGGATTGGTGTTTATTGTTTAGGCTCGTTTCTACTGTTTGAGCAGTTGGAAATTCTCCCTAATAGTTGTGGATTTTTTATTTCTTATTTGAGTAGTTGGAAATTCTCTCATAGAAAATGGCAATATATGTTTAGTAGATGTTTGTTTTTATTTAATTAGACAAAGATTTCTAATGTATTATATACAAATATATTATATGAGATTGTGTAAAGCTATGGAGGCTTAGAGAATGCACAGAGTAGTACTACACATGCGCTATAGCGATGACATGCGCAGAGATGTATATGCTCTTGTTATTTCACTGTCACTCAGCACGTATATTACATCGTTTTGGTCTAAGATTTCTTTTTCTTTTTCACATTATTATTTCCTGCAGCTCGTTTTTTAAGTAAATTATGGTGTACTCAGTCATTGACAGGAAATATTTCGGTTTATTTGTGTCTGAGGCGTCTAATGATTTCCCTCTGGGATCATCCTTGTCGTCTATAGATAAGTTTTCCATATTGCATCGATTAATATAATTTTAACATCTTCTGTAAACACAAAGATATGAAGTATGGATCTATATTTTAACATTTTAGATGTGAGAATATATATAATTCTATTCATGAATAAATGGTACCTTGTTCCTACTTTCAGTGCCAATTATTTGGTTGATCAATAATGGCGGTCCTCTTCAAATGAATTGTTGAGGTTGAAAAGATCATCCATAAAATTCTTTTGAAAAATATGTTCTCTGAAATATTGCTAACTGAAGTGATGTTAAGTTCTAGCCGTATAGGATTTGGTCCCCCTCCTGAAAGAGTTTATTCCACACGTGTAGAAACCGCACGCTGTCGAACAGCCCCGTTGCAGCAGAGTACCTCTCACTGTTCTCTTTCTTCTCTCTCTCTCTCTCTCTCTCTCTCTCTCTGTGTGTGGAGATAAAGCTGGGAGGTCAAGCTTTTATTGATTTAGTTAGGTCATTTATCTTTCTCTGTCTACTTCTGAATGGTTTGAACTGGTAAAATATTTAAAAGGAAACTAGGAAAACAGCAGCAGCCTTCCTTTACTTCCGTTGGTTCATAAATAGGCTATAGTGAATGAATCAGGTAGTCATGAATGCAGCCAAAAAACACGTCGTTTTCTACTTTCGTGATTTCCATTCTCCAACATCTGCTTGCCGGTCACACGGAAAACAGTAATTTCTGTCTCTCTCGATCACTTTAATGAGGTTTGAGCTGTTTTGAGAAAGAGGGATCGATCTTGAGCTGGAGTTGGAGAGCAGGAGCCCGAAGAGCTTGTTCCTTACATGCGGTTCAGTCTGAACGTAAAGTATTAGGGCTTCTTCGGGGCCATTCGTTTAGGGTTCCTTTTTTTTTCCAACTACTAACATTTCTTGCTTTCTTTATGTTATTTGAAGGGGAACTGATCCTATTTGATCTTAGGTTTTGGCAGGTTTGGTTCTATTTTATGAAGGATGAAAATTTTATTATTTTCGGACTTTCTGGCGAATATAAATGCATTGGTAAAAGCGACGGACGAACTGTCGGATATTTCGCCGGTACTAGTTTACAGAGGAATTTATGGCGTATTTTCCACCGCTTATTTAATGGCGAAAATTCCGCCAGATAATTCGCCAGTTTTTATAATATTCCGTCGCATTTTCCGTCAGAAACTCTAGTGAAATCTCTGGCATAAATTACCCCAGCTTACTTATACATGACAAAACTATTTCGACATATTTTCCATCAGTTATATTAACGTCGAAAATCTGCCATTTTCCTGTAGATATGATTCATGAAGCGGAACATGTGTCATAGGCTCTTGGGTTTTAAGAATGAAGTGATTTTGGATTATACAAGGATTCTCTTGTCCTCATTGCTCATTTTAAAACACTTGCTCTTCTTAATAATGCCTGCTTATCCTTGAGTTTTGAGCTTGGTCCGATCTTCAAGAGCCTAGGCAATGGAGTCAATTGTACAGCATTGAAACATTTAAAACCTCAGACGTACTGTTAGGATCACCTAATTCCTTCACATTGAAGATTTTGGCAGAAAAAAAAAATCTCAATCTAGCCTCTGACAAAAATAATATACAAGTTGATATATATATATATATATATATATATATATATATATATATGAGGGAGATTCTCTCTATTCCTATTAACGTTGACTCTAAAGATGTTATCTTATTTAAGTTAGTTAATGATGGCTTATTTAGATTGAAAGATGCTTGGCATGATTTTAGAATTAAAAAAGAGGTTAATTTAATTTACTCTAGGATTTAGCATAAAAGTATCCCTGCTACGGTGTCTACCTTTGTCTGGAGAATTTTAAACAGATTTATTCCTACGGATGATATTTTGTCTAAAAGAGGTTTTGTCATTCCTTCTAAATATCAATGTTGTTTCCATGTTGAAAGCATGCACCATGTGTTTGTGCCAGGGCCTATTGCGATTAAAACCTGATGTTTCTTTGATGATATTTTTTAGGTTAACAATTTTAAGGGGACCATGTCCATTTATGAGCTTATTCAGGTTTGGGTTGTTAATTATAAAGGGCATATTAGGAATGTTACCTTTTCTCTTATTCTTTGGTATCTTTGGTTGGAAAGAAACAATGCTGTGTTTAATGGTATTAAAATGGATTCGTCCAGGGTTATTCATAATGTGAAAGACAAATTATTTAGCATGATTTCTGTTAATTTAATTTCTATGAAAGGTTTCTATCAGTGTTACCATGTTCTTTCCAACCTTGGTCTTAACCTGCAGCAGTTTTCCACTTCTCCTAGGCCTCATCTGGTTGTTTGGTTAAAATCGAGGATGGGCTCTTTTAAACTTAATGTTGGTGCTAAGGTGGCTAACAATATTATGGGATGTGGTGGTATCATTAGAGATGGCTATGGTAATTTTATTATCGGTTTTGCGGGGCTTTCTTCTGGCAACCCTCGGTTGGACACTTTGAACTCTATTATTTGTGGGTTAAATTGCTGTCTTTCTCTGGGTATTACCAGCATTACTATTGAGGTTGAGTGTCTCCTGGATGTTCAATGTTTACTCATTGGTGTGGATGCTCCTTGTGATCCTGAGGCGTTTCACATTATTCGTGCTATCAAGTTATTACTTACTTTTGTTCATACTGAGTTTTCTCATGTGCTTAAAGATGGTAATGCCTGTGCTAGGTGGCTTGCTCAGGTTGGCACAGGCATTTCTTGTTTCAATGATTTTGTGGAAGCTAATTCTCCTACGCCTCTTAGAGGCCTTATTAGATTGGATAAAGTTTCTCTTCCTTATGTCAGAATTTAGTTGGTGTTTTTCCTGTTCTCGGGCTTTGATCCTGCGGTGCTGCTCTGCTGTTATGCTTTGGCTTGGTGGGTTATTTTGGTTGGTTCATTTTGGTATGGAGGTTTTTGAGGTGTTATTTCCTTATGGCTCTTTTTTTCCTGATTCTGGGTGGAGCAATGTTTGTAGGTTTTGGGTTCTGGTAACTCTTTTTCTTTCTTCGTTGATCGGGTGCCTTTGGCAGGGTTGCCTGTCGTTCTCTGGATGGCTGTTTATGAATTGATTTGGTAGATGGGTTTCCTGCTCCTCTGTTGATATTGGGGGGGAGCCCTACTGTTTAGTTAGGATGTTGATTACGGGTTGGATTGACTACTGCTGTTTCACCTATTCCTTGGTGGATTTCTTAGGTTTCTATTGTATTTGCTGGAGGCTTTGTCTTTATATTTTGATATGTAACGATGTTGGTGGTTATTCTGGAAGCTATGATCTTGGGATTTATCTTGGGGTCTATCCCAACATTGCTGGTTTGAGGTGGGAAGGCCTTTTCTGTTATCGGTGGTTTTTACTGTCTGTTGGTGGTAAAACTGGTTGGAACTGTGCGGGTTTTAATGATATTCTATTGTATACTACTTGCTTTACCTATTCCTTTGTGTTCTTTTGCAGGAAGACAGTACAATTTTTACATGAGTGGTATAGTTTTCTTCTTGGTATGTGCCCCTCTTTGTTCCTCTCTTTTTGGTGTTGTTTTTTCCTCTATGTTGCAGGTGTTTTTTGTGTCCTTCAATATTTCAGTCAGTTTTGGATAAGGGAGGTTATGCTAATTGCTGATTTGATCTATCTCCCCATTTTTTGGGTGTTCACCCTTGAGCACCGTAAAATGTATCTAGGTTTCATTGTATTTTGGATTAGCAGGGATCTTGAGCTTTTAGGTTTTTTTTGTTTTTTTTGGATTGTAGCTATTTTGAGTGGTAGTAAAGCTCGAGGTCCCTTTAAGGACCTTGTAATTTCTCCATTATATTAACGCGTAGGCTCCTCCATGGGTTTCCCCCAAGAGTTTCCCCCATATATATATATATATATATATATGAGCAAGGTTTGGTTTGCCAAAACTCCTATGATTAAAACTTATATATTCTCCGAGAGGTCTGGGTACAAGTATCTCTTCAAATCAGGAATTTGTCTTATGAATACTCACAATATTTATTTTTACCCTCTCTACTCGTCTGTTATCATTTGAAAGTTGCATTAGCTTTCAAACTCTAGCCTGTTTCTTGGGTTTACCAAGTCCATTTCAAAAATGTTCAGGCTAAAAAAAAAAATTTGCTTCAAGGCACTACAATGACAGATTATAAGGTTAAGTCAATAGACGAGATGGAAAGGAAATTGCGTTTGAAATCTTTAATGATGCTTAGATTCTAGCTTAGATAAAACTGTCAAAATTGAGTTACCTGGCACCTCTAAAGCTAGGGCCTGGTCCACCTGCTCTGGCCTCTTGTACTCATGCTCCATCAATTAGTTTAATGGTTTTTTTTCTTAATGCAAGCCAAATTGAGAATGGTTATGTTCAAATTTGCATATTGAATACGAACATAGAGTGTGCCATTCACATTCATAAAGATAGAGATCTTACTATAATTTTGATGCAATATTTAGAAGGTATAGATTTTTATAGTAATTTCTACTTGTTTGGGATCGGCCAGTACTC